ATCATTTAATTTTTTCATTTTTTGTAATATTTAAATGTTTGCATTTAAATCACTGGAAAATTTTTTGTTTTTTAGGTATAAAATTTTTTTAATTGTTCTTTTTTTATATTTTATAATATTTTTAATATTTATATTATTTTACTATTTTCCTAGAATTTGGAGTAATTTAATATTATTATTTATTTTTACTGTTATAATTTTAATTATTAATATAATAATCAATAACAAATAATAAAATACAATTAAAAATAAATAATAATTAAATATTCGAAAAGAATTTTTGAATATCTAATTAAAAAAATTGAATATACATTAAATATATATTATATTTAATTAATTGAAAATTCTGGATTCAAATAAATATTTTTTTCTTGAATATAGAATATTCGAAAAAAAATTTAATTCAAAATTGAAAATTTTCGAAATTCAAATATTTTTGTTCGAATAATGAATATTTGAAAATAAGATTTGAATTCAAAATAGAGAATTTTCTAAATTCAATTAATTATTTTTGTTCTACTAAACATTTAAAATTGTAAATTTTCGTAAAGAAACAATTTTTTGAAATTTAATTAATTGAAAAATTTTAATGGAATCAAATTTTTTTAGTTATTAATTATTTAATAAATTGAAAACGATTAAACATGAATTATATTTAATTAATTAGAAAAATACTCGATATTTAATATAAGAAAAATTGAATTTATTTAACAAAAAAAAATAAATAAATAAATGGAATCAAGTTTTTCAAAGTATTTCCGCGGTAATAATCAGTATTTTAAATCATGTGATAGTCCCGACTATTGTATACTATTAAATAATAGTCAATATCATTTAAAATACATATTTATAAATATTTAGTATCCATTTAGCAATTAATTGTAAATAAATTAAAATCTAGATTATAGTTATTGTAGTATTAATAAAAAATTACCATATAAAATGTCCAATTTTCACAATTATTTCACAAATAATTATTTGTGTAGAATATTTGTGGAAAATTGGAAATTTTTTGTTGAAAAATTCACTTTTCTATATATTAAATTCCTATTTTGAATGTTTCAATTAATATTATTTGTATTCAATAGTTTAAAAAAATCACTTTTTCGATTCTTACAAAAGTATTTTTTTTTTATTTTCCTTTTATTGTAAAATTCTTTTCAATTTAATTTTCAATTTCTTTCTCCTATTTCTTTTCAGATTGGTATAAAAAAAATGGGCTTCCATACAATAAAGGGTATAAAAATAGAAAAGGAAAATACGAAATAAAAGAATTAAAATTATTACATTGTGTTTTAAAATCAATTTTTTTGTTATCGAGATGTAAGAGTATGATTTAAATGGAGGGGAAAAAATAATAAATTAAACATTAACTAGATTCGTGTTAATCTCGTAAATATGTGTTTCGATCTTTTTTTTTTTTTTTTGAAAGGGAAAAAAAATAATTGCCATAGTTTACTTATTTTATTTTTGACTAAATACTAGATTCCAGTGTTTGTGAAATCTGATATTCGATATATGAAACACATAAAGAGAATTACATACCAGAACCAGGAAAATGTAGTGCATTTGATATATATCGGATCACGTGTGTTTATACTTTGCGTGTATGTACTGCTTTGCAATGAATATGAAATAATAATTTTGAGGTCACTTGATTGCTTTAATAGCATATATACGGTCTCCAAGTTATAACCAAGTTTTACTTTTTATAAACGTTGCCATGACAACATCCGTTACATCCCCTTTGTGTATATTCAAATTCTAAATTAAATTCAATTCAAAATATAGAAAAATAAATAAAATAAAAAAAGAAATTCAAATATCAAAAAAAAAAAATTTAACTCGAAATAAAGAATTTTCTTTATTCGAAATAATATTTTTTCTCGAATACTGAATATTTTCAAATGAAGGAAATTTAATCCAAAATTCTTTTAATTTCGAAAAATTTAGTAATTCAGTAATTCAAAATTTTTATTCGATTATTGAATATTCAAAAACAAAAAAGTTAAGAAATTAAAAAAAATAAATTCTAAATATTTTTGATCGAATATATTGAAATTTTCCGAAGTTAAAAAAATTTAAATTCAATATCTCGTCTAGAAAAAAAAGTTGTAAAAATTCGAAGTGAAATTCCAGAAAAATAAATTTTCCTCGAAAGTAAAAAAAATATGTTGAAAAAAAATTGAAAATTGAAAATTTATTATTAAAATTTCTCGATAAGAAAAGAATTTGACTTTTGAACACAAGGAACACAAGAAAGAAAATAAGGGGACGACTGAAAATTGAAGTTTACCTTGGAGGATATACTCGCTAGGTAAATTCTCAAGTTTTGGTCGTCTCTCTTCTTAATACTTTGGCTAAAACAACTTCTTACAAAGTTTTATATTTTCCATACTTTTTTTTTGTATTCCCAAAGTACTAGGGAACAATTTAAACTTTCGAGTAAGAGACGGAAATTCCGGTATCCACTCTTCATTAGACATTAAACTCTTTTTTTTCCCATCTTCAAATTTTTTTCTTTACTAAAAAAAAATTTTCTCTATAAATATAATTTAAACAGCAAAAAAAAAAAATTTCTAAAACCATGAAAAAATGAAAGAAAAGGAGAATTTAAATTCTCAAGTAAATAGAAATCTTTACGAAATATTCACGCAGAATGAAAATATCCAAACGACCACTTGAGATGTTACTAAATAAAAAAAATAATTATTTACTTTATTCAATAATTATTTGTAAAAAAAAATTGATAAGTGAAAATTTTTATTATCGACTGTAATAATAAAAAAAAAAAAATGCAAATTAACATCACGATAGCCTTTAGCGCGCGATTTGATATTTTCTTTTCCTCAAATTTTATCCACGAGATTAGTTTAAAAAAAAAAATAACATATAGTTATAGTAAGTATATTATATTAAGTGCGGTGATATGTCTCAAAAAAAAATAATTAAATAATAATTAAATTAGACATTGTCAAATATTAGATAGTGTATGTACGATCGTAGAAAAATTTTGACAAATGCAAAAAAAAGATCTTTGACTCAATAATATTGCTATAGTCGATCAAATGAAAAAAAAACACTTTAGTCAATTCTTTAATGTTAGGCAGTTGATAATAATTAATAAAAAGGAAAAAAATAAATCTTCGTCATACAAGTCGCGAAAAAAAATTTAGATTTAAAGAACTTAAGATATCAAAAACGGTTTTCGTAGAAACAAATATCCCTTTAAAAAAGAAAAAAGTAATTATAATAGTATTTATAGATACGTAATTCGATTTTACTTTTCATTTCCCCCAAATCATCAAAGATAGAAAAAAAATTCTTTTTCCACAATTCATTTATGCTCCAATAATTGACATCATCCGCAAAATTCGACGAAATTGTCCTGTAATCACTTTTCAAGACAATTATTTTTCAATTTTCAACGAAGAAATTAAATTTTGTATACTGAATTCTCTTTTTTGTTGTTGTTATTATTATCATATTGCGTGTATATTTTATATATAATTAGATGAATTTACATATTTATAATTATTATTAAGTTAATATAAATATATTTGTATTTATTGTTAAACGTTAAAAAGTGTAAAGAAAAAATTTTATCAATTTAGAAAATATCTCGAAAACCTTCCTCTCGAATGGTTGTTATTAATCGATTGTATTTAATTTGTATAAATACTGCCGACTTTGTGAATGTATCATTTTATTAATCATTGTTATAGAAAAAAAATGTTGCACAGCAAAACAGTGACTCCGAAAAAAATTTTTTCAAAAAAAAATAATATTAGGTAACAAAAATTTATTATAAATATTAATATTATTAATACTATCAATATTAAGAGATAATAATAATATTAATAATAATAATATTAGGAATAAATATGAAATTTCAATTTCAATTTAAAATAATTTAAATTTTTTTGTACTTACAAAGACTTCTTTTTTGAAATTTAATTATTATTTTAAAAAAATGTAATTTTTAAGAAATATGATTATTATTGTAAATTGTAATTTATTTATTTATTTAATAATAATTAGTTAGATATTTAATAATAATTATTTTTTTAATAAATAATAATTATTATGAATTTATTTAAAATTAAATTTCATTGAAAAACTCTACTTTTAGTCACTGATTTGCCGTACAATTATTGCAATAAGTTTGTTATTTATTAAAAAAGAAAAGAAAAAATAAGAAATTATCCTAGTCGGTACGTCGCTATTTAAATAAAAAGAATAAATTAAAAATCAACGTCGTAGACGTATTTGTGTAATATCACTGCTCGCCATTATGCTCAAAGTAACACCATTTTGAACGTAAGTTGACACTCTCGAGCTTTTTGTGAACGTTTCCTTCCGTAAATATACATATATAGATATAATCACAATTTTCAGGTTGAATTAATGAAAAAAAAAATCATAAAAGAAAAATTTTATTACGATTACTCCTGTTAAAATAAATTAATGAGAATGTTAAAGAAAAGCAAAAGTCGTTAATCGTCATTAATTAAAAAAAAAAAAAAGTGTTTTCTTTTAAAGAAACTCGCGTTGATTATATCTTGAACAATGAGTGATCTAATATTATTGTATTGTTGGCAGTTTTCCATGAAACTAGTGGCGATATCAATAAATTTAACGACAGATTTTGAATCACGTATAATTGTCTTCTAATTCACCACAAATCGATTTTTCATTTCTGTTTAATTATCAATTATTTAATTTTATCTTTATGATTTTTTTCTATTTTTAATAATAATTTTTTCTTTTTATTTCAATAATAACTGATTAACTATTTTAATAATTAAATTACTGAATTTAAATTGATTTAAATTAAGAATTAAGTATTAATAATTAAATTGTTGAATTTAATTCTCTTGTTAAATTCACGTTTGAATAGATTATTAAAATTTACGATGATATTAAATATTTTAGAATTCATAATACGAAATTGTAGATTGTTAATCGAAAGTTATATGTATAATTAATTGGCGAATTGATTGCTTACCTAATTGTCTATTTAATTAATTACTTTTTCTGTTACAGGTGTGTAGTGTGCATTGTATCAAAAAAATGATTCGAAATGAATTTTTTTTTTCATGATTTGTTTTCACAGCCATTTAGAAGTTTCAAAAGACTCGAGACCCTCGGCTCTCAATCGACTCAACAATGGACGATAGATGTCTGGCGTAAATGGAAGAACGTTCCCTCTTTGTTGAATTTCACCTGAAGAACAAAAGAAGTTTTTTTTCGCATTCCATTACCTTTATCACTTGAGATAAATCTTTACCTTCTCTTTTTGAAACAAAAGTTTTAATACTAATTTGTTATTATTTTACATTGAAATAATTTCTTTTCTCAAATTTTAATTAATTCAAACAGATATTTTTTATTTTATCAAAATATAGGAAATAGTAAAGAAAAGAAATTCTTTTTGTTTTAATTATTTCAGAAATATTTCTTTTCTATTCGTTAATAATTTTTTTTCTATTTAGTAAAGAAAATTTGAGAAAAGAGAAAATTGTTTTTGATTGATTTTGAAAAAAGGACTTTTTGGAAAATTGAATAATTTACCGTCTAAAATCATTTTAACGGCAATGGCAGCTGGGAAGCCAACTGTACGTGCCATAGCCGAGTGTCCTTTAGGATCTCCATAAATCACCATATTAACACCTCGCAGTTCGCGTTTACCATCTGGCCATCGTATACCGATATCGTGCCTCAAAATGACTAAATCTCTCTCGTTGTGCTCAAATTTCAACTTATTCGACAAATAATGAGAAAGCGTGTCAAGTGGTGTATTCAATTTGAGAACTAAATCTTCCTCCAATAGTCCAAGATCCTCGATTGCCTTCACTCGCTCCTCCGAATTCACTCGTTCAATCAATTTTCGTTTTAAATTTTCATAGAAAATATTTTCATTCGGCAAACCGAGGAAGTTGCAAATTAACGATCTCTAAAGAAGTGAAAACTTTTCTTTAGTAATAGAAAAATAAAATTCTTATTTTTTAAAATAATTTAAAAAATTTAATTTTCTCTTAATTAATGAAAATTTTGTTTATCTAGTATACAGAGCTTGAAATAGGTCCGTAAATTTGTTTCAAGTCCGTTAAAGTCCATTTTTTTAAAAAAAGATTCTTAAAGTCCGTAATTTGATTCAGAAAAGGACGAAAAGTTTGTAAATTGTACGATATAATTTAGAGAATTTTAGAGAAATTACAAATGATTGCAGACATTCAATTATTTTCAAAATAATAAAATTCTTCGCAAAAATTCAATTATGTTCAAAAATTAAAAAATATTGACAAAATTCCAAATATTTTTAGAAATAATAAAATTCTTCTCCGAAATTCAATTATTTTCAAAAATTTTAATAAAATCTTTGGCAAAAATTTAATTATTTTCATAAAATATAAAAAATTTTACAGGAATTCAATTATTTACAAATGTGTGATATTTTTAAACAAATTTTTTTTTGTAAATTGATATTTTTTTGAGTTTTATTCTCACCCAGGTGATTTCGGGTCCATTTGGATGCAAGATTGGATTTGGATTCGGATCAATTAGACCGAGAAACTGAAGAGCTTGAATTGTTTCCGTGAAACCTTTGAATCTCAAAGTTCCTCGCAAAATTGTTTCAGCGTTTTGAATTCCATAGAGATCACGATAATTCGTGCTATCACGATTTGGAAAGCCTTCAAGTGCAAATCCAGGCAAAAAATCTAAATCTTGAACCGCTGACATTAAATCACCACCTCCGGTTATTTCGACAATCTGAAACATAATTTTCGAAAGCCAAAATTTAACAATTACTCTTCAACTATTTCGTAAAACTTATACTTTTATACTTTTGTATAAAAAAAGATACAAAAAATAAAAACTAAGAAAGATATAAAATATAAAAAGAACAGAAACAAAACAATATATAAAATGGAAAAATAGAAAAAAAATTGAAAAAATAGAAAATTGAAAAATAGAAAAAAGTATAGAAAATAAAGAGTGAAAAGTTTTGAAGAAAAAAAACACTCGCCTGCCCTTCGTGGAAATATTTTGCAGATGATAAAGTATTCAACAAAACACCACGCGGTGACCAACTGAATTTATATCTAAGAGGATTATCAGAACATTCCGGAGCCGGAAGACCACCGCACCACGAGACGAATGATTCAATTTTCCCCCCTCCTTGTCGCACCCCTTCGAAACATTCCAAAGCTAAAAGATGATCAATTCCTGGATCTAAACCCACTTCGTTTAATATCGTCACACCAGCAGATTCAGCTCTATTAAAAAAATATTCAAAATTAAAACGATTCAAAAAAGAACAAAACACATAAATATTTTCACAAAACGTAGAGAAAAATTAGTAATACTAATAATTAAAATCGAAAAAATTGTCTTTTTTTCTCTTCTTTCAGGCTTCGCAGTCGATAATTAATTTTAAAAAGTCGCGAAGAATTTTATTATATTTGAAAAAAAATTATTAGTATCAAATCGTAAAAAAGTAGTAAATAGTAGGTTTTACTAGATGAGTTTTGCAAAGCTTGTGTTTTTCTAGAAATAAAATTGAACCTTACTGATTATGCAAAGCCTTCACATCATCATTCATATAACTCGCAGTCACCAAATGTGTTTTCGTTTCAATGCAAGTTTTTGCAATGACATGATGTAAAGAATACGGCAATAGAGAAACGACAACATCGGCAGAACTCACGACATCCACTAATGTATCGGGTCGTTCCAAAACATTCAAAAATATCGGTTCAACGCCCGGATATTTATTAGCTAATGCATCAGCTTCGTCTTTTAATTGAGAGCAAACGACAATTCCGACATTCTTATCGCGATGTAAATATTCCACTACTGGTGCCGACACGTATCCGGCACCTAGCACAACAACCTACAAAAGAAATTGATTAGATTAACAAACATTATTAAAAACAACAATTTTTTTCCTTTCCTTTTTTTGCACTTTTTCCTGTTCACCTTTTTTGATTGCTCCGATCCATTATCAATGCAAGCCTTATGCCTACTCTTCAAATTTAATTGTCTCAATTCTTGGATATATTCAAAATTTGATGTTAATTTTCCATTAGAGGCAATAATTGCCCCACTAACTGCTGAGGAGAAATTATGTTCTTCCAGTGATTTTTTTGCATCCGACTGCATAATATCCAATAAATGTGGAAATAATAAATCGCCAAAAAAATCAGTTGCCTCACGCGGTAATTGCGTTGGCATATTATCAATGGAACAAACAAGTACACCGGGTCCCTTGAACGATTTCGTATCTTTATTTCTATCGGCGTCGTACAAACAAAAAGGCGTATCTATTGTCGTACACTCGTTCATAAATCTATTTGACAGTAATTTTTTTTTTTTTTTGATAAGATAAATGTTCTTTTTTTTTCTTTCGATAAAAGAGAGTTTTTATTTATGATAAAGAATACTTTTCGATTATGATTTCAATTTCGATTTCCATTTCGAATTTAATTTCAATTATCATTTCGATTTCAATTTAATTTCAATTTTCATTTCGATTTCAATTTAATTTCCATTTCAATTTCGAATTTGATTTTAATTTCTATTTCGATTTTAAATTTAATTTCAATTTAATTTCAATTTTTTTTCGATTTCAATTTAATTTCCATTACAATTTCAACTTCAATTTTAATTACTATTTGGATTTTACTTTTATTTTATTCTAATTTACATTTCAATTTCGAATTTAATTTTAATTTCTATTTCGATTTCAAATATAATTTCCATTAAATTTTAATTAAATTTCAATTTTTATTTCGATTTCAATGTAATTTCCATTTCAATTTCGAATTCAATTTTTACTTCGATTCCGATTTCAATTATAATTTAAATTTCAACATAAATTCCGTTTATTATTGAAATTGATTTGAATAATAAAATAGAATTAAATGGATGATATAAAATGAAATTGATAGATAAAATAGAAAGTAATTTAATCATAATCAGCAAATATTAATTAATATTATCATCAAGTTACTCACTCGATGCTACCACCGGGATCGGCGGAGATATCGCAAATTGCCAGCATTCTGTGAGGTAAAGCCGGTGCGCCCACACTTATCGGAAGCCATGGTGTATTCGCCGGTCTCAATAAATATTTTGCATCCGGTATTGTCATTAATTTTGGCGAATCGACGGCCCAGTAGATTCCATTAATTATAATCGACGCATAGGGCGCAATTTTTTTACTAAACGTTGAAATATATCTCTCTGGATGCTGATCATATTCCTCTGGATCGAAAACGCCATCCTCCTTTCTTTCCAAATGATGTCTTCGCCTCACTTGACAGGCGTATATTTTATTTGTGTCTAAATACAAGAAAAAGTTGAGGATTATTTTTATTTAATTTTAGTGTTAAATTTTTTGAGAATTGAGAAAGAAGAAATCACCTCCGTGTTCGGCGACTTTTCTCAATGCTTCAGGAGCCACGTACTCGTGGGGAAGTTCCTGAAAAACTTCCTGAGCTCCTTGACTGACATTTCCACTTCCTGTGAAAACGACGGTTAGTGGACCAATTGATTTTGGCAAAGCACCAAGCGCTACTTCATAACCCGCATCCCTTATCGACTGTCTTGCCATCGATGAATCACGATAATTGTGCGCTGGACCAATATGCTAAAACACAATCTTTAAAATCTCTCTCATATAACGCACTTTCTTTAAAAAAAACTTCGATCCAAACCAAGAAATTAAAATTACTATCAAGTCTAGTCAATTTTCAAATTATTTCATTATCAAAAATGTTCGAATTTTCAAATTCGTAAAAACTCAAGCAAATTTAAAACTCGATCGAATTTCAACAGGGCTCGAAGCAGTAAAAGTATTTAAAAATACGCACTTTACGGACCGAAAATGAAAATTAAGGATCATTTACGGACATTTTAAGAATTTTTAACTAAAAGTCTTCTTAAAAGCAATTAATTTTCGAAAAAGTTCTTTGACAATTTTCAAATACATTTGTTTACAATATTCAATTTTACAAATTTCAATTATTCGTAAATTCTTCAATTAAATATAGATTAGAAAATAAAAACTTCAAATAATATAAAAAAAATTCAATTAAACTTTTTCAAAAAAATTAATTTCAAAATTCAATTATTTCTAAAAATTCACGCCATTATTGCTTTTAATATTCAATGAGTTTAATTATTTATGAAAATAATTGAATCCTTGTAAAAATTTTATTATTTATGAAAATAATTGAATTATTGCGAAGAAATTTATAGAAAATTTGTAAATAATTGAATTCCTGTGAAATTTTTATTATTTTATGAAAATAATTAAATGTTTGCTAAGAATTTTATTAAAAATTTTGAATATAATTGAATTTCGGAGAAGAATATTGTTATTTCTAAAAATAATTGAAATTTTGACGAGAATTTTTTTTTAATTTTTGAACATAATTGAATTTCTGCGAAGAATTTTATTACTTTTGAAAATAATTGAATTTCTGCAATCATTTGTAATTTCTCTAAAATTCTACAAATTATATCGTACAATTTACGAACTTTTCGTCCTTTTCTCAATCAAATTACGGACTTTACTGACATTTTTTTTTAAAAACGGACTTTTACGGAATTGAAGCAAATTTACGGTTCGTGCCCTGAATTTCAACAAAGCTAAAACTAACGAGTTATAAAATGTTTTCGTTTAAATTTAAAAATTCCTTCGAATTTGAAATATATTTAATTAGAATTTTGAAATTCGTTCAAAAATAAAAATAAAAATTGCTTCCTCACCATAAAAGGAGTGTGATGTCCAAGAGCCAATAACCGAAGACCGAGTCCATGTAAAATATTCACCATACCAGCGACTCCGGCATATTTGCCAAAAGCAACGATACGCTGTCCATTGTCGTCGGTTAATTTTTCATAATCAATGAGACGAATATTTTTCTCGAGTATCGCATCAAGAAGGGGCATATTACCCTCCTGGGCCTTAATTGTATGCGAGAAGAAGCAATAAGTCTTGTTTGGAATTAATTGATCAACGGGAACTTGTTTCACGCCAAAAATCACGGACGCTGAACTTATGTCCTCTTGTAAAACGGCACCAGCCGAAAGGTAAGATTGCACCGGATATGCCCTTCGATTGCTCGGCTGTATTATCACCTTCACTCCCGAACGTACCAATCTTCGGACATTCGTCGGTGCCAGAGATGCTCTCCTCTCCCATACTGATTGATCTTCTCTTCTTATCGCTATTATTTTACCCTTCAAACTCTAAAGCAAAAAAAAATTAATTAGTTCACTGCTTTTTCATTTTTTTGGAGAGAGAAAAATATTTATTTTCCTCTCTCTCAAAAAAAAGAAAATGAAAAAATAATAAAGTCAAAAAAAGAAAAATAATTTATTTTTAAACATTTTAGATAAATAATTTATTTTTAGATAACTAATTTATACTGTATGTGATAAAAATAAATTATAAAATCGAATAGAAAAAGAAAAATAACTGGTCTTTCATTTTTAGACGACTAATTGTTTACTGTAAATGATAAAAATAAATTATAAACTCTAATAAATAATAAAGCCGCATAAATAACAATGTCAAATAAATAAATAAAATATCAACATACGCTCAAAAGCCGGAAATTGGAACTGATGGCACATGTTGGAAGAATTGATGAAAATTGTCTGGATCGACTTAAAAAATTCTGTTGTAAAATTCTCATGACACTCGAAGAATTTCCAAATAATATTAAAAGTTAATAAATAACAAAACGAAAATTTAATCACTTTTTCCCTACATTACCGAAACACTGTTTTAAAAATACACCTGATAAAAATAATTAATTCCAAAAACTCGTTGGCAAAAAAAAGTTAATAAAAAAAACGTTTACCCGCAATGAAATCTCGACAGAAAATGATAAGAATAATATACACGAGGAGGAGATGGACGCTTGAAAAATATTACAAAATTCACTGATAAACTCCACTGAGGGCACTAAAGATAAGTATCTTCTTTCTCCTATTCTCTTTGTGTGTTTCTTTTTTTTGCGCATTTTTTTAATTCCTAAAAAGTAATTTTTTAAATCCCTCACACACTGTAAATTTAGATTCAAATGATGAATAGCCTAAAAAGACAATCACATGCTTGTTAAAAAAAAATTTGACATATCGCGAAAATAATTTATTATTATCGGTATTGTGTAATTACGCCTTTATTGAGGCAAACAATTTTTTAAAATTATTTACACAAACAGTACGATTAGAAACGGCAAACAAAGAAAAGTTGATAATAATGAAATTAAACATACACTTTTTTTTTAAAAAAAGAAAGGGAAAAATTGCGCGTGTCCCTAATTAGGTTGAGACTTTATAAATAGATACATTTTATTTTTAATTGTTTGTTTCGTTGGATTAATACGTTTTAAAATTCCTGTCATTGTATTAACTAATTGTTCTGATGTTAAGCCTGTTTTTTTCGATTTAAATTTCTGCAGTAATTCAGTTGTTGTCATTGGTTTACGCATGAGATAACGTCTCACTGCCTCTTCCGTTATTCCAGATTCACTGAAATTAATGTAGAAGAAAAACATTATCAATGATTGAAAGTACTATTAGTTCTATTATCAGTATTAAGTGATATATAAGGGTGATTCTCCAAAAAACCTCATTTTGCATGTAATCAAGATTTTCTAAATAATTATAATCATTTGGGAAAATACCAAGTCATATTTCCCTATTTTATCACTTTTTCTAAATGTTCTGCAAGAAAAAGTTGTAAAATTTTATTGTTTAATACATTTTTAAAATATTTTACCACCTCAAAATCGATTTTCTAACCTGTCATCTAAGTGCTTTTCATTTTTTCAATAGGTAAAACAATTATTTAAAACATGAAAATTGGTACTTTATTAATTTTTTCTAAAAGTTATGATATTTAAGAATAATTTTCAAAAATATAAATAAAATATGTCGTGTAGTTTTTTTAAATATAGAAAATGAAATTTGTCATGTAGTACCGCGTCATTCCTCTCACTCGTTTAATATTATCCAATATTTTTGCTGTGGGTAGAGATATTGATTAATTATTGTGATCAATATTTAAATTAACATCTCTAATATTAATTTCTTAAGTTACTTTTTAAAAAATGTTATTATTTTGCGTTAAAAAAATTAAAATTGAGACATAAGCAGAGATTCACAACCTAAAGTGTCATTCCTCTCACCCCTAATAAAAACAATATTAATATATATAAATTGATCGCAAATTTTTTTCACATAAAGTTATCCTTTATAAACACGATAGGGCATTCTAAGCTGGAGGAAAATTATTTGTCAATTAAATAAAATTAAAAAATGTTGAAATCGTCATTCCTCTCACCCGTCATTCCTCTCACTTTTTTGAATAAAAATTAAAAATTGATATGATTGTCGGTTGTTTACAAACTGCCAGTGAAAAGTGAACCTAAAATGTATGAAAAATAATTTTTGACAATTGTTTAAAGAGATTTTTGATAACTGTAAGTATTTCAAAATCTATAAAATTTATAGATAATATTAATAAATTATAATTTTTAAATAATTTTTTGTAAATAGAAAAATATATATAATAAAAAACGCCGGCGCCAAATTTTAACCTCTTAATTTTTTTGTAAATTTTAATTTAAAATATATACTTTAAAAGCTAAAAGTTAGCATGATCATGCTATAGAGGTGGTAGATTTTTGAAAGCTCAATATAATTGACTGCATTAATGCATAAATAATAATTTTTTTTCTTTTCTGTTTGTAACTCACAAAAAGGAGTATTTCGGGAGAATCACCCATAAATTAAAGTATCGAATGATGTGAAATTTTTTTTTCAATATTTCAGAATTAAATCTTAAAATTTCTTCATTTTAGGAGAGTTTTATATGTAATTTTAAATCAGTTTTCCATTCACTATTTCTTTAATTTTAATTTCAATTTGTCTTTAATTCTAATTTTAATATAATATAATTTTTTTCTCTAAATATTTTTGAGTAAATAGAAAAAAGATGAAATTGAAATTTAAAGTCTTGTGCTAAACTCACCTTGAACTTGGAGTAAATGGCGTGGGAACTGAAGTGTAATTATCCAACTTCATTTTCTTCGTTTGAGACAAATCTGGAGAGGCATTTATTTTTCTTTTCATTAAGTCAGAAGTGGAAGCTGCAGGAGTTGGTGTCGTTGATCTGGAACTATGGGCACTATTCGCCTTTTTGTCCTTTTCTTTTTCCTTAGGCACATCGGAATCAGAATCTGACTCGCTGGAAAAGTCGCTCGACGAATCCTTTCCAGTCGTTGATTTTTTCACATCTTTTTTCTGAACACTCTTCTTCTTTTTCTTCTTGTCTTTTCGCTTCTCTCCATCTTTTCCCGACTTGTCCTTTTCCTAGAAAAAAAAATCCAGTTTAGACAAAGAATCTTATTGTTTTCATTGTTCCAAAAATTCTTTTCATATTTTTTCCCTCTATTTATAAATTTAGCAAAAAAAAGGAAAAAATTTATTTTTAATATTTAATTTACCTTGTCAGCCTCCTTATTTCCATCCTCTTCATGTTTATCGTCATCATCATCCTTCTTCTCCTTCTCGTCTTCATCATCGTCCTCCTCATCTGAGACGAGTAATTTCCTCAAAGCATCCTCCTCGGCGACAGATTTGATTTCCTTTTTCTCCTCTAAATCTGACCCCGATTCACTTGATTCGGACATGTAGTCACATTCTCGTCCCTCCTCATCACCATCATCACTCTCTTCAAATGCATGATCGTCATCTTCAAAATCATCCTTCTTCTTCTTTTTCTTCTTGGCGTCAATTTTCTTTGATTTTTTACTCCCCTTTTTACCATCGTCCTCATCTGAATTCTTCTTGTCCTCATCGTCATCACTATTTGAACTATCATCATCACTCACCATCCATTCATCCATTTCTGAAATCATGAATTCCTTGGATTTTTTATTTCCCTTCTTACCTTTACCATCCTCCTTCATATCCTCATCATCTTCACCCTCTTCATCGTTCTTCAATTTCTTTCTAATCATCAGGGAAAAATAATTCACCACATTATTTCTGTGAGCGAATTCTGCTTCCGCTTCCTCCGCACTTAGTGTCTTGTACCTTTGAATCGGTTGAAAGTTGAACCTGGGGGAAAGATAATTAAATTCTAGATGGATTTTGATTTTAATTTCAATTAGATTTTACTTTTAATTAAACTTATATTTTCTTTTAATTTTCCTTAAGTTTTATTTTAAAGTTTTATTTTTAATTTCACTTAAGACTTATTTTCAATTTTACTCAAGTTTTATTTTTAAATTTACTCAAGTTTCATTTTTAATTTCACTTAAGACTTATTTTCAATTTTACTCCAGTTTTTATTTTGATTAAGTTCTTTTTATAAAATTAAATAAATTTACTAAGGGAACAATTTTAAAGGATAAAGAATTACCATTCATTGAGAGGAAAAGCCTCAATGGCTCCGTCTTGAGCGTGAGTGAAAATATAATAAGACGCGTATTGACTGATTCCACCTTCTTTAATTCCGCGGAATTTTTTTCCAGTTTTACCGCCAGCCTTAAGAATCCAGGGTTGATCCTCGGGTTTGTATTTTCTGCTTATAATTCCGTATTTCTTTTTTCGAGCCTCCTCCCTTGCATCGCGACCAAACTCCGAACCAGCGCCAAATTTCGGAGCATCTTCATCTTGTCCTTTATATTCTCGTAAATTATTTTCACGTTCCATTTTAACTTGTGCCCATTTTGTAAAATCCACGTTCAAAGTTGACGTGAATCTCATCACATTGTGCCTTTTCTTTGTATTTCTGTCAGAAATAAAAAACAATTAATTATTTTATATATAATGTTAATAAAATTCTTCGCAAGAATTCAATTATTTTCATAAATAATATTTTTTATAAAAATTCAATTATTTTTAAACAAAATTTTAATAAAATTTCACGAACAAATACAATTATTTTCTAAAATTTTAATAAGTCCTCCAAAACAATTCAATTATTTTCAAAAAAATTTCACGAAATAATTCAATTTTTTTCTTAATTCATTATAAAATATTTCAAATGTATTAAATTTATTTCTACAATTTTTTTAAATCCTTCGAAACAATTCAATTATATTTATAAATATAGTAAAATTCTTTTCAAAAATTCAATTATATTCAAAACAATTTCACGAAAGAATTCAATTTTTTTCTTAATTCGTTATAAAATTTGTCGAAAGAATTAAATGATTCTTTAAAATTGTAATAAAATTCAATAATTAAATGTTTAATTTAATTTAAATTTAAATTATCATAAAATTCAATTATTTAAAAAAATTTTAAAGAAACTCCATTATTTTAAAAAAAAATCAAAGAAATTTTTCAAAATGAATTTAATTAGAATTTTAAAAATTTTTAACAAAATTCTTCACGAGAATTCAATTATGTTCCTAAATAATAAAATTCTTCGAAGTAATTCAATTATTATAAAAGAAGATATTATATAATAACATTGCAAAGAAATTATTTTAATATTGTATAATATTTTTATTACTATAATAATATTTAATATTATTTATACCATTATATTAATTAAAATTAAAATGATCATATTATGGAGAAGGAAATTGTAAAAGTTCTTGAAAAGGACGCACGATATAAATAAATTAATTTATTTTTGACCTTTTGCAAGAAAGTAAATAAAATATACAAAGTCTTTGAGAAAATATACATACTTTGGAACTCGAATACTGAATTCCTGAGCAGGACCAACTGCCGGCTGTAATAAAATAAAAAAATATTTAAAATTATCTCAAATTTCAGTTAAAAAAGAATTAAAATGTTGAATAAAAAAATGCAAACGAGAAATTAAATTAAAAAATATTAAATTCGAAAGATAGTATGTTAAAAACTTGAGAGTATATCTGAAATTCTAAAATTCCAAAATAATAAATAAAATTTATGTAGACACCTATCTTTCATAGTGAATAATGATTATAAAGTTTAAAATTCCGTTAAATAATAATTAAAAAGGTTAAAAAGATAATAAATTGGGTGCGGTCATGTGCCCCCCAATATTGCATCTTTTTAGGTTAGATTTTGAAACAGAAAATTAAAAATTTACAGAATGTTCACTTATAACAATTACTATAACAATAACTGCTGAATATTTTAAACAGTATTTAACCAATTTAACATGATTTCTTTAAGTTTTTTTTCATTATTTGTAAATTTCTAAAATTTTGACATTTACACAGAAGAATTTCGTTTAATTTAAATTTTGTTGCTTACCTTAGGTGCATTCATTTCTCCAAGCAATTATATGCTTGAATAATTAAATTACAATTAAACTATAAAAGTATTGATTCAATTTTTATCGCAGTATTAGAAAATGTTTTATTCTTAAAACATGACTAATTGTAGATTCTAACCTCTAAATAAACCGTTTTTGTTTTTGACATTTGACATATATATGTATCGAATATTCTCGAAGTAAATATAGCTTTCTGATTGGTAGATGGTTATTTACGGACAAGTTCTCAGCTAATCAGAGTTACGTTTCGGCCATATTGAAAAATATCGATGTTTGTTTATGTTTATCTGCTTTTTGGAGAGTTAAAAAAGTGATTGTGTTTAGAGTTAAAAATCTAAAATATATCAATAAAAATGAAGAGAGGAAGAATAAACAATTATCGATTTAACGTCTCCTAAGTAATGTTACAAAAGAGACAATGCTTGAGATTATTATCGGTTTTTCTCCAAGACGTCAATCAGTAACCTTTATTTGTCTCTTATGACCATCATGAAATCAATATTTTCATCCCTGCATGCGTTTTATACATTTTCTGATGATAAAACAAATGAAAGTTTAATTGTGTTGTTTTTTACAAAACAATGACAATGGAACTGATATTATGAGGCAAAAGTTATTTTTGGAATGTCTCACGTTTTTAAATAATTAAAAAAGGTAATTTCTCCATCAAATATATTGTTGAAATATTTATTATTTATTATATTTAATATTATTCAATATAGATCAATATTTAATATTTATATGCTTATTTATTTGAAATTTATATTTATTTTTCACTCACGTATAATATTTTAATTCAAGGTTTAATTTAAAGTCTGCGAGAATGACACTGTATTTTGATACACGGGTGCAAAATCCTGAAAGCGCTTCAATTAATACTTGCGCGATTTGGCATTCGAATTTGCCATTTCTTGCGGTTGCGGCTTTCTCTCAAGACAAAGGGGGCTTTGTGACACTTTTCGACGATCAAGGGGAACCTCTTCAGGATGTTGAATCACCAGGTCATTCGGTGGCCCAAGTCACGGCTCTTGCTTGGCATCCTGAGAGAAAATGGCTAGTTATTGGCTGGGAAAGTGGCGAAATGCGGGTTAGTATTTAAAAGAAATCCAAAAACTGGTTTAAAGTACAATAAAGTAATTAAATTTTTCTTATGTGTTAAATTAAATTGTAAGTGAACTAAAATTCAACAATGAGTCAAATTAAACTACAGCTAAAGTTTAAAATTGACTAAAATTTAACTCCAATTAAATTGTAAATTAATTAAAGTTTAATGATTTGTAAATTAAATTGTTAATGAATTAAATTTTAATGATTTGTAAATTAAATTGTCAATGAATTAAAAGTTAATGGTTTGTAAATTAAATTGTCAATGAATGAAAACTTAATGGTTTGTAAATTAAATTGTTAATGAATTAAAATTTAATGGTTAGTAAATTAAATTGTTAATGAGTTAAAATTTAATGGTGTGTAAATTAAATTGTAAATGAATTGAAATTTAATTACAGGTCTGGGCAGGCGACACTGGTTCGAATGAATTTAATACAATCGTAACTCCACATCGGGATCCTATTCTTATTTTACAATGGAGTCAAAATGGAGGAAGACTTGTATCGGCCGATGCTGCGGGTTCGGCAGTTGGATGGAAAATAGATTCGAGAAATCAACTTTTTATGACTTTTCATCACGAATTAAAGGATTCTTTCACTCACATTGCCTTTAAGATTTCTCCTCTAAAACCTGCGGTCGATTTAAGGTACTTTGAATTTTTTACTCTTAAACTTTTACTTCTTTACTCTTTTACTTTTTTACTCTTTTCAAATTTTGGGATTCTTATTGTAAACTAAATTTCGCAGTGGCTTGGCAAAAGCAGCAGTGGCAGGCGATGAAAGAGCCCTGGATCTCTTTAGTTCGTGGCGGCCGAAAACCGCGGCACCAACGGCAATACCAACACAAAGGGACAATCACGCATTCTACATTGGCACCGCAAATGCGACAATTTATTTTGTTGACATTCAAGGTCAATGTGTAGAAGTCATCAACATGAACGATACGACTCTTCATGCTTTATTACATCATCAATCGAGGGATTCTCTCGTTGTTTTGACAGCGGGACTAAATATTGCCCATTATCAAGCTGATCCGATAACTGGCCAACTAACCGAATTGACAAAAGTAATTTTCTAATCCTCTATTTTTTTTTTCATTTATCTAATTCTCTGTAAGAGTAAATTTTATTATATTGGGAAGTACCTAGAATTATCGTTAATAGTAAATATTATATTGGGAAGTAAAATTACCGACAATTGTAAATTTTATTATTAAAATATTTAACTCCACAGGTGAAACTCAGTGGAAAGAGTGATATTTCACGAAGTGGTCCCTCGATTTGTTGGACAGGTGGAAATACTCTCGCGATTCTCACAGGCGAACTCGATGTGAGATGCTGGGATCTTCATACAAACGACTCTTACGTTTTATCACCATCGGAATCAATAATGGGAAATGTCGCCGCGCCACAGGAAATATGCACCAGTTTATCCTACTGCAAAAATAATGGTATTGCAACTGTCTAATTTATTAAAAAATTTTCCCCTTTTTGTACAAATTATTAATTTTAATTTAGTTACTTAATTCCTTATTGAATTAATTCCTTATTTAATTATTTATCTCCCAGGACTCGAACTAGGTCCGTAAATTTGCTTCAAGTCCGTAAAAGTCCGTTTTTTTTTAAATGGTCCGTAAAGTCCGTAATTTGATTGAAAAAAGGACGAAAAATTCGTAAATTGTACGATATAATTTGGAGAATTTTAGAGAAATTACAAATGATTGTAGAAATTCAATAATTTTCAAAAGTAATAAAATTCTTCGCAGAAATTCAATTATGTTAAAAAGTTTAGAAAAATTCTCGTCAAAATTTCAATTATTTTTAGAAATAATAAAATTTTTATAGAGATTCAATTATTTTCGTAATTAATAAAATGCTTTTTAGAAATTCAATTCTTTTCATAAATAATAAAACTCATTTCAGAATTTCAATTATTTTTAATGCAATTTTAATCAAATTTCTCGAAAAATCTAATTATTCTTAAAAATTTTATTAAAATTCGTCAAAAGAATTCAATTATTTAAAAATTTGTTGATAAAATTATTTATGAGATTTGAATTTTAAGAAACATTCAATTATTCAAAAAATTATTTTTTTGCATTACAAGTTAGTGCAGTTTAATTATGTTCAAAAATAATAAAATTCTTCTTAGGGATTGAATTATTGTCAATTAAAAATTTTATTAAAATTCTTTGAAATAATTTAATTATTTAAAAAATTGAATTTTTAGAAATAATTGAATTTTGAAATAAATTTTTTTGAAAAAGTTTAATTGAATTTTTTTTATATTATTTGAGGTTTTTATTTTCCAATGCATATTTAATTGAAGAATTTACGAATAAATGGATTTGAAAATTGTCAAAGAACTTTTTCGAAAATTAATTGCTTTAATGAAGAATTTTAGTTAAAAATTCTTGAAAATAATAATTGAATTGAAATGATGAAAATAATTTTGAAGAAGTTTCATAATTTTTGAAGAATTCTTATAATATAAAATAATAATTTTTGTCAATATGCCATCTTTAATTATTATAAAATTTAATTTATAGTTTTAAGTAAAATGTTTTCTTATTTGACTCGGACTGGTTAAATTTTTGTCAGAAATTGGTCCGTAATTTTTCATTTTTTGTCCGTTATGTCCGTATTTTTTAAAATACTGTCACTTGTTCGAACCATGAATTCTCCTTTTTTAATTATTTAATTCATTATTTATTCCCTTATTTAGAAACCCTCGCTGCTGGTACAAATTTAGGAACGATATTTTTCTGGAAAAAGAAAACGGGCTCTGACTCAATTGAAAACAGTTGGCCAACATGCCCTGAATCGTGTACAGTTCACGGAACAGTGAAACAACTCGTTTGGGGTGCTGTAATGCTACGAAGTCCTCTACTCGCAGTAAATTGTATCACAAACGTTTTCATTCTCCATCAACAGCCAATGTGTGCCGCCTATAATGACGGTATTTGCGCCAGTCAATTGAGTCCAACGCAAATTTTCCTGCAAAAAGATGATAAAAGTCATATTCTAAAGACCGAAATTCAAGTACAAATATTGGCAGTCAATAATGATTACGTCGCAGTGTCTTCCGGACGACAAATTGCCCTCTATAGATTGAAAAAAGATGGTATGTTCAGTACATCGTCAGTGTCGAATTTCGCTTGTGACACGGAGAAAATACTCATTTACGAGAGTATTTTGGTGATTTTAACGCCAATTGTCATTCAATTGAGATCAATCGAGGGAACAATTATTCAAACCCTGTCAACATTACCCGAGGAGGGCGAACCAATAACAATGGAATTGACAGGACAGTATTTAACAGTTGCTTCATTAAATGGAATTTTAAAGATATGGGATCTCGGTAAACGTGAGGCGAAATTATATACACGTGCAATGACATGTTATGAGGCAATTAGCGATTTTGCCGAGATTATTGAAGCTAAATGTAATTCTGATTGTCGATATGTTTCAATTACTGTGGCGATGGCCAATTTAATGCCGAGCTCAATTTTATACGTTTGGGATATTGAGAGCGATCAATTGCATGAATTTGATTTTGCCAATAATGACGATGGAATTGATGATTATTCCGCATTGTAAGTATTAACTGATCAAATTAAGATTTATTCAAATTTCAGGACTCGGATCGACTATTTTTTTAATATTTGAATAATTTGAAAATTCCAGAGTCACGAAGTGTAAAGGAAGATTAGTGACCGCACATTGTTGGGACACCGATGATCCCAGACTTTTGATTTGTCGAGCACAAAAGCCAGAAACAAGAGATTCAAAATCAACAAAGTCTTCAAGTGAATCTGACGTAAGTTTAAAAAAAATTAAATTCAAAAAATTTTCTACTATTTTCCTATTATTTTATTTTCACAACTTTTTATTAAATTATTATTAGATAAATAATTATAAATTATTTAAATAGTTGTAGAATTTATCACTCGGTAAAAGATAATATTAAAATAGTGTTTTTATTTTAATATTTGACTTGGAGGATTGATAATTTTCTTGATATTTTAATTTATTGAAATTAAATTATTTTTCCATTATTCCATGTATATTTTTGTTTCTCTAACAGGAATCGGCGAATGTTGTTTTGGTTTCAATGTTTGCGAGTTCCGATCATGGAATTGTCGTTCAGGATGTGAGATCATTGAACGATGACAATTGTCGTCTACTGGGCGTACAATCGCCTCATATAATAATTTTAAATTCCGAATTATCATCAAGCAGTGATGGTAAAGTTGCTCGTCTAGTAATGAAGGATTTCGAGGAACTAGAGGATTGTGATTTAACAACAAAAAAGGCTATTTTGGATTTTTGCTTCTATTTAAGTATCACCAATATGGACGAGGCATTTAAGGCAATCAAGACAATTAAAAATGAGACCGTGTGGAAGAGTCTAGCGAAAATGTGCGTGAAAACGAAACAATTGGATATGGCAATGTTGTGCTTGGGTCATATGAAACAGGCGAAGGCAGCGCGAGCACTTCGCGAGGCAATGCACGACGATTCATTGACACTCGAGGCGAAAATTGGAATTCTCGCTATTGAACTCGGACTGCATGTTAGTTAATTTAATTAAATTCAATTAAATCCAAAATTTCTTAAAAGATACTTAAATTAAAAATCTCATGAATAAAAATACTTAAATTGAAACTAAAAATACTAAATACTAAAGTATTTTCAACAAATTTTCTATATCAAATTTTCTAGGTGATAGCATTTGATTTTGGTTGATTGAGGGAATTCTGCTTTTTTCAGAACGACGCGGAACGACTTTTTCGTGAGGCGAAGAGATTGGATCTAATTGGATCGTTACTGGAGGCTCGTAATAAATTTAAGGAGTCATTGACATTGGCCTCGAGTGAGAATAAAATTCGTGAGAAGACATGTTATTATAATTATGCGAAAGCACTGGAACGACAGGGAAAAATAACGGAGGCCATAGAGAATTATACGAAAGCCGATTGCCATAGATTTGAAGTGCCTAGAATGCTTTTGCTCAAGCCGCGAGATTTGCAAACTTATTTGAATACTTCCGAGGATCAGTGAGTATTGCAATTTTTGAAAATTAAAATTCAACTAATTTTTTTTGTCGATAACTTCTGTTAATTTATTAATTTAATAAAAATTGATTTTCTTCAGAGATGTGAAGAATTGGCACGCGCAGTATACGGAATCAACAGGCGATATGGAAGGCGCATTACGTTTATATGAAGCCGCTCAAGATACTCTCTCAATGACGAGATTATTGTGTTTTCTTAATCGAGAGGACGAAGCTTGTGAATTGGTTATGAGAACGAATCATGCAGCTTCTGCATATCATTTGGCTGCGCATTATGAGTCAAAAAATAATGTCACCCAAGCAGTTCACTTCTATTCGATGGCTAAAGCTTACACGAATGCCATTCGATTGTACAAGGTATCGTAAAATTTATTAAATTTCGATTAATAATTAACAGGCCTCGAATAATAGGATTTTATCAACTATTTTCCAAAAAGACAACTTTTTTCTACTTATTTTCAAACAAAGCGACTTTACTTTTTTTTTCTTTCATATAAATGCAACAAAATACCACAGAATTTGGTCAGACAAGTCATTTAATTATTTTCGAAAAATTAAATTACAATATTTTTAAAAAAACTAATTTTTACGATTCTTTTATCATAATTTTTTGAAATTTAATTATCTTCAGAAAATGGAAATTCAAATTTTCAAAACATTGAATTTCTTAGAATTATTTTTAAAATTTTGGAGAAAGAAATCATTTTTATAAATTTTAATTAAAATTCTTAAAAAAAGGTATTGATTTATAGAAACTAATTGATTTATAGAAATTTTGTAAAACTGAATTGAAAATATTTAAAAAGGAAAATTATTTAAAAAGTTAGGAAACAAAAAAGCAAACTAACTTTAAACTGCTAACAGATTACCGGAATACAAAGATTATTAATCATTTAATCAATTGCCTAATTTAATTGTTTCTTTATTAGGAGCACGACATGACAGAGGAATTATGGCCATTGGCAATGTTGGCGCCGCGTCAATCGCAAATTGACGTTGCAAAATATTACGAGGAGAACGATAAACCGGACAAGGCAGTGTTACTCTATCACAAATCGGGATTACTACGAAAAGCAATGGATCTCGCTTTTAAAACACAACAATACGATGCTCTGCAAATAATCACAATGGACGTGAATGCCGATTCAGATCCGGCATTAATACAAAAATGTGCCGATTATTTTGTTCAAAATGAACAAATTGAAAAAGCAGTCGATTTACTTGCAACCGGAAAAAATTACATCGAAGCACTGCAATTAATTCAAGAGCACAATATCACGCTCACTGAGGATTTAGCCGAAAAAATGACAGTCGAAAAAGTTGAGAAGGACCTGGAACGTGAAAGATTGAGAATTTCGACATTAGAGAGAATTGGAGAAATTGCATTTCATCAGGGAAATTATCATTTAGCGACAAAAAAATTCACTCAAGCTGGCAATAAATTGCGAGCAATGAAGGCATTGCTAAAATCGGGTGATACCGAAAAAATATGTTTCTTCGCACAAGTTTCACGTCAACGGGAAATTTACATTATGGCTGGAAATTATCTTCAGTCACTCGATTGGCAAAATCAACCGGAAGTTCTGAGGAATATTATTAATTTCTATTCAAAGGGCAAGGCAATGGATTTGTTGGCGAATTTTTACGTTGCCTGTGCGCAAGTTGAAATTGATGAATTTCAAAATTATGAAAAAGCCCTCGATGCTCTTAATCAGGCAGGTAAGTGTTTGGGAAAAGTTGTCGATCCCCGAGATTCGGAAGTTCATCGAAGAGCCATTGAAGTTGTCAATGGACGAATGTCAACGGTGAAACGATATTTGGACATTAAAAGGTGAATGAAATTATATAAAATAAAAATTATTTTCAGAAATAAAATATTTATTTTTAATAAAAATTTATTTTATTGAAACGAATATTTTTTTCTAGATTATTTGATCGAGGCGATACGGAGACGGCGATGAATCAAGTGCGACATTTGTTGGATACAAAAGGCGACGATTTGGAGCAATCGGTACGTCGTGGGGATTTATTTGCGACGATTACTCAACATTTTGCGGATATTGGAAAAATGGAGAAGGCACGTGCAACTGTTGAAGAATTGAAGCGCCTTGTTCCTGGTATTAATTTGAGTTATTATTATAATGTTAATCTACTGGAGGCGCTTGGCTATAAAATAAATGTCGAACGCGAGGACAATTCAGACAAGGATGATGGAATTGAGGAGCTTCTCGGTGATTGAATTCTAACGATTTCTCATTATTCATTTCACTTTTTTGATCTCATAGAATTTAAAACATTTACTTATTTTAGAGATTAATATTTAAGAATCAGCACTGAATAGCCTCGCTACCTCTTTACATCAATCGGCAATTTTTTCAGAAAAAATATTTGAAAAAATTGCAGATTCTTTTTAGTTTGCTGTAAAAGTTATAACACAAAATCTGAAATTTATATTAAATTTAAATTCGCATTTAAAATTATGCAAAAAGAATATTTATCAGAATTTATAAATTTTTCAACAGTTGTGTAAATTTTTATCATCTCAGGCCTCGGTTGAGAGTTCAAAACTAAATTTCTGAATTCAATTATTTAAAATTTCAATATCTTGTTAAATAAATATTTAAAATATGTACTTTTATATATTTTTTTAAACGGGAGTTAAAATTTCTATTTCGAAATTTTTGAAAACAATTATTTTGATTATGTAATTATTTCTAAAAATTTCTACTCGAATACTTCAAGAATTCAATTATTTTCTAGAATTTTCAACTCAAATTATTTTATAAATCAATTATTTTTAATAATATTCCGAAAGATCTTTGAAAATTGAATTATTAAAAAAAATTAAAAGAAATATTTAAGTTTTTAAAATATAATTATTTTCAAAACATTTTTTTTACATCATTTGACATTTTTCTTCAAAAACACGATTATTTTTAGAAAATTGTCATAAAATTCAGCAAAATATAAAATTTATTGCAATGAAATGTCGAAATTTCCAATTTCCTAACAATTTTTGAATTAATTACTTTTGTAAATTCAATTATCTGTAAAAAAAATGTTTATTTAAATATTTTCAGAATTTATAAATTCAATTATTCAGAAACTAAAAAATATAACAGGAACTTTTCCAAAATTCAATTATTTCCTAGAATTTTTTACTAAAATTATTCAAAAATTTAATTTTTTTAAAAATAAATATGTATTTAAATAAAATTGAACTTTGACATCAATTGAAATTTAAAAAAATTTTTAAGTTTAAAACTTCTGAAATTTATATATTTGTAAAAAAATTTCTACTGTAACTTCTCAAAAATTCAATTATTTTCTAAAATTTTAAATTAAATTCTTTTTTATAATTTTGAGAATCGAATTATTCAAAAAAACAAAAGAAATTTCTTTTAAAATACGTCTAAAAAATTTTGATTATTCGAAAATTTTTCAATTATGGATTTTATTGAAATATTCGAAAAAATTACTAGTAATAATATATAATTTGAATATATTTGAATAATAATTTTTCATAGAACTAAATTGTTTAGAATTAAAAATTTTAATTATTCAATATTGAGATCTTCAAAAACTTCAATTTAAAATCTTTTTAAATTTAATTAATTCTGAAAATCTCTACTACATATAAATATTTTATTATTCAATTATTTTCTAAAAATTTAAACTTTAATTTATCTAATCTAATCTAATTATTTTGCAGAATTTTTTTAATACAAATTGTTTTCTAAATCAATTTTATTTTGAATAATTTTTGTATTTACAAAAATTCGTATTTTGTAAAAATTGGAATATTGTAACTTTTCATTTTTTGAAAACTTTAAGATGAAAAAATGAATTCAAGTAGTATTTATTCGCAAAATGCAAAAAAAAAAAAATTATTAAATTCAAAATCGCATTTTAGTAAAAGAAGTCGAAGAAAGTCGCATTTTTTGAAAGTAGAAGAAAAAAAGTCACATCATCCGAGGCCTGATAGAATTATACGAAAATTCAATAAATTTACATTCATATCTAAAATTGCGCAAAAGAAAAATATTTGCAAAAATTTATAAAAACTTATAAAGTTTTATAATTTGCGATCTTCTGACAGCATAAAATTCCGTCCAATGATGTAATGATTGCCTTATCTAGTTTTTAGAATCAATCCGTCCAAAATTTTGTAGGATCAATCCAACAAAATTGTTACTGAAAAAGTATTGTTGCTTTATAATATAAAAAAAATTCACTATATATTTATAACATAAAAATGTTACAAGAACGAAAAATTATTACAATATTACAATTATTTAAAAATAAATTGTAATAAAACGATTATTTAAAAATAATTATAATATTATTAATTAAAATTATATTTCTAATTATTAAAATATGTAATAAAAATCAAAAATTGTATTTTGAAATTTTACGAATGTTTTCGTTTCGGCTAGTGTGAATAAATTGCAATAAACTTAGAAAAGAACGAACATTATTTTATTATCAGCCTTTAGAGGTTTTACAACGTTTTACATATCCTGGATATAGTACAGCGTTTCTTAAAAAAGAGAAGAAAAAAAAACGAAAAGAAAAGACATTTAAAAAAATTATCACACTTGGTGCTGAACTAGAACGTTGAATAATAAATAAAAAAGAATAGTTATAATCGAGTATTTAAAAAAAAAACATTAAGGCTAAGACTTATAGTTACTATTTCGTAGTTTTGTTTTTAAAATTAAAAAAAATATATTGTGTCGATGAGACATTTATCATTAGTGTCTCATGTTTCTTCGTTAAAAAAAAGAGTAGAAAAACGATCGCGTATAAAAATTGAGGTACGGAATTTATACAAAATACATTTTTATTTTTGTTTTTTGTATTTTATACTTATACGGTTTTTTTAAAAATTGAAAAAAAATTATTCTACTGTGGAGGGTTTCTTGCATGGTGAACTCTCATCGCCGCCGGCCATATCTTCTTGTTTGCGTTTTTTACGAATAAGATGGGAAATATCGTTGACTGATTTCTTTGATAGACCGGAGGACGAGGATGATGAACCTGAGGATGATGCACCGCCACCATTGACGGCAGCGGCAGCAGTAGCAGCAGAACTTGTACTTGCGCCATTTGAACAACTGCCAGCAGCTGATTTTTCGCGAATATTTTCAATAATACGTTTGCATGCCTCCTGTTTTGCGTCTTTCATATCGGATATTTTCTCACCAATTTCCGGTAATAATTCCTTGAGTTCTTTGATTTCACCTTCAATTGTGTAGAATGGATCGTCGGATTTTGGTGGTTCGGTGATTAATTCGAGTTCCTTGATTCTTGATTCGAGAATTGAACTTGCCTCTTGGAATTTTTCAATACTCGTGTCAAATTCATTTGTATAGGCGTAAGCCAAACCAAGTTGATAATAAATTTCGGCAATTGCTCGTGGTTCGCAGGGTTCAATTTTTTGTAATAAATCTAAACACGCTTCGAAATCGGTCATTGCACCAATTGCATTACCACCTTCAATGGCCACTTCGCCGAGTAATCTGTGAGCTTCCGCTAATAATTTCCAGCCCGATGGTCCACGTTTAAGGATTATTAATTTTGCGAGATCGAGCACTTCCCAAGCGACCTTTAATTAAACAGAAAATTTATTATTAATTATTGCATTAAATTGAGAACTTAAAATTAGGGACGCTACAAAAATTTAATTTTCATTTTTCCTGATTTTTCCCTTATTTTCAGACAAAATTTTGACTTTTTCCCTGACTTCAAAAAAAATTTTGATTCATTCTAAAAATGATAAGATAGTCAAAAAAATTTTCTATTTCATTTATTTACGAATTTCTATAATTGGGAAACTTCGTAAACATCAATAATTTCATTCTTAAATAAATATTAAATCATTATTATGTTTACACAAGAATTAAGATTTTTTAAAAATTTCAAATTCAAATCTTTTGAAATTTAATAACTTATAACAAAACTTTTATTAAATATCAAGATAGCGATCACTTTGAGTCTTCGACTCGAATTGATTGATATCTTCATGCTTTATAATTATTAAAGATTGACGAGCGATAAAATTATAATTTTATATTATAAAAATATTGTTACTGTAACTTTTTCAAAATTATTTTCATCATTTCAATTTAATTATTATTTTCTAGAATTTTCAACTAAAATTATTCTTTAAATCATTTCTTTTTAATATGTAATTTTTTAAAAAGTTCTTTAAGAATTTTCAAATCTGTTGGTTTATAATTCGATATTACCAAAAATTTCGATTATTCAAAAATTCTTCAAATAAATATATATTAGAAAATAAAAAATTCAAATAATTTCCGAAAAAAAATTAAAACTTTTTCAAAAAAAAAATAATTCTACAGAATTGTTAGTTGAAACAATGAATAATTCAAAGTTTCAAAGATTTCAATTTGAAACCTTTTCAAAATTCAATTTTTCTTTAGTGTTTTTAATTGTACCTAATTCTTTTATGAATCCATTATTTTTAATAATTAATGAAATATATATTAAAAAATTTATCTAATTTCAGAAGAATTTGAATTATTAAAATTTTTCAAAAATCTTAAAATATTCTAAAAGTTGAATTCATTATTATTTTTGAAATATCTTTAATAAAAAAGATATTTTTTATTTGAACGTTCAAAACATTTTAAAAATTTGTGAATCAAATGATCCACAAATTTTTATATCGAGTTAAAATGATTTATGATTTTAATTTCCAAGAAAAAAATATATAATATAAATTATTTTTGAAGGTAAAACAATTTTCGCGAGTGTTTGAAAAACAAAGAGAGAGAGAGCAAATTTTTGAACACTATCTTATCGCTATTCTTCTCTCGAAAACTATTTATACAGGTGATATAGTGTTTGAAAACAAGATAAAATTTATTTTCAATTCCTCTTGTATATATCTTGAGGTTTTCATAAGAAACAAAATATTAGTTATTTATATTGTGATTATTATTTTTCAAATATGTTACACAATCTTATTGAAAGTCAAGAGAGAGAGAGAGACTGTGATCGAAATTAATTTTGAAGGAACTAAACAAATCTCGATTCAATGATTAATTATTCTGTAAATATTAAAATAAATTCAATATCTATTCTTTTGTAAAATTTCTTTCATAATTATATCAATTTTATTAAATTTAATTAAGCCAATTTTAATTTAAAATCAATTAAAAATAACTAAAATTAATAAATAAAAAATAATTAAAACTAATTTTGATGCATATTACTCAGTTCCTAAAAAAGGGGAATTTTTATTTCAGTCAATTTTTAAATGAATTTACCTGGAGATTGTCAATTTCTTCGTCGTCCTCTCCATTCTCCATCATACTGTCATTTTCAGCGGAAGATTCTCCATTGGTGGTCACCTTACTCGAACTAGGAACAGCCTCATCCGTTGATTTTGTTGTACTATTTTCTACAGTCTTCTCCTCCTTTCCATCAACTTTTGGTGTTGAATCATCAGCCTTTTTTTCTACCTCTTGTTTCGATTCCTCGACTTTTTGCTCGTCTGTTTTATTATTCTCTTTCTTTGATTCCTGAGCATCAGTCTCCATTTCGGAATTCTTCGATTCATCGGCTGCCTTCTCAGCAACTTCGTTTTTCGTCTCTTTTTTCGAAACTTCCTTTTTCTCTTCAGTCTTCTTTTCGTCTTCCTTAACTTCCTGTTTTTCTTCCGTTTTCTTCTCCTCTTCCTTCACTTCCTTCTGTTCTGTCTTCTCCACCGCTTTCTTTTCGTCCTTCACTTCTTTCTCTTCCATTTTCTTCTCTCCTTCTTTAACCTCTTTCTCTTCCGTTTTCTTTTCGTCTTTATTCACTTCTTTTTCTTTCTCTTCTGTTTTCGTTTCCGTTTTCTTTTCTCCTTTCACTTCTTTCTCGTCCGTTTTCTTTTCCTCTTCTTTTACTCCATTCTCTTTCTCTTCCGTTTTTGTTTCCGCTTTCTTTTCGTCTTTCACTTCTTTCTCCTCCGTTTTCTTCTCTTCTTCTTTAACCTTTTTCTCTTCCGTTTTCGTTTCTTCTTTCTTCTCTTCTTTTTTGTTTTCTTCTGTTTTCTCACTCTTTTTGTCCTTCTCTACCTCGGTGGTGACTTCTTTCTTGTTCTCTTCCTCGGTTACTTCCATTTTCTCCTTTTCTTCTGTTACTTTGCTTTCTTCTTTAGTTTCAGTGGTTTCTTTCTTCTCCACTTCTTCAGTCACCTCCATTTTATCATTTTCGGTTATTTCGCTTTTGTTATTAGTTTCAGGACTTTCTTTTTTCTCCTCAGTTTCAGCAGTGACTTCCATTTTATCTTCTGCTACTTCGCTTTTATTATTTTCAGTGACTTCCTCTTTTTTCTCCTTCTCAACAGTTTCGGTTTTTTCTTTAGTTTCATCGCTTTCCATTTTTTCGTCATTATTCTCAGCTATTTCGTTTTTACTTTCGGAAATATTGTCTTTGGGAGTAGTTTCTTTCTCTTGCTTTTCAGTTGTTTCGCTCTTTTCATCATTGGAGTCCTTTTCGTCGCTCTTCTCTTCATCGCCATCCTCATCTTCTTCGGCCTCATCCTCCTCGTCGGAATCGTTGCCAGGGACACCGGCACCCAATACGTTGCTCTCCTCTCGCGCTAGGCCAAGAAGTGCACGTCCATAAAGTAAATAGGGTTCGGCCAATTCGTCAGCACGATCGCCATGATCCTTGACGAGGAGTTCCAGAGCTTGGACCAAAGTATTTACGGCATTGTTGTAGTCGCACACCAACAGGTGACGTTTTCCCAGCGATAGCGCTGATGCTGCATCGAGAGGAGTCTTTTCTGACGCGTCAGCCATCTGGAAAAAAGTTTTTCCATTAATTTTACTATTTTTTCGCAATTTTACTAAATTAGAAATTATTTTTGTAATTTTTTTTACAATTAATATTGTTATTACTTTAATAGCTTCGAAAGATTGTATTTGATAATATTAATATTTCTAAATATATTTTAATGCTGATTTCTTTTTTATTTATTGCGATTATTTTTGTAATTGCAATTGTAATTGTAATTTTTCCATTAGAATCATTCGAGAAACTGGAATATTCTTCTTTCGGAATAAATCAATTTTTCGAATTGTGAAAAATTCGTAATTGAAAATTTCCTTCTTAACAGTAATTTCGCATTTGTTTCTACGTCTAATTCTCACTTTGGTCCCGTTGAGATCAGATGTGTTTCTAGAATATAAATTACAGAAAAATTCAGGAAGAGTTTAAAAAATCCAGGTTTCGCACTCGATAATTAATTTTTTAAAAATATTTTAAAAAGTAGCTTTAAGATCGAAAAAATAGTCAAAAAGTAGCTATTAAAGAATTAAATTTAACAACTAAAAAAAGTTCGTTTTAGATGATTCACAAAAATAACAAAAAATTGATTCTGCATTTTATTTCCCTGACTTTTTTCTAATTTTCATTAAAATTATTTACGTTTTTTTCTTATACTGCTAATAACTTAAATTCTAAATTTTTTAAATTTCAATTTAAAAATCTTCAAAAATACAATTATATTTAAAAATAATTTTTAAAAGTAGAAAAAAATTCTTTAAATAATAAAATTTATGTATTTAAATTATATTTGACAAAAATTTTCAAATAAAATTAGAAATATAATTCAATCTTTTTGAATTGTTTACCAGAATTTAACTTTTTCTTTAAAATTTTTAAATACAATTTTTCAAAAGACGAATTTTTTCATAATTTCTAAATTAAATTATATTAAAAAATATTGAATAAATTTTATTCCATAAATATGGAAATATTTATTTTCAAGGATTTCAGTTTAAAAATCTTTTGAAATTTAATTATTTCTGGAAATTCATAGTAAAACATTTTTAGTATTCAATTATTATCTAAAATTCTAACTGAAATTCATTTTTATATCAATTCTTATTAAAAAGTTCTACGAGAATTTAATTATTTAAATATAAAAAATAAATAATTTATTGAATAATTAAATATTTCTTAAAATTGAATTTTTATAACGAATTTTATCAAAATTTATTAAAATAATGGAATTTGATGGAGGAATTTTAATAAAATTTTTAAGAATAATTACATTTTTCGGAGAATTTATTTTAAATTGTTTTAAAAAATAATTAAAATTCTGCGATAAGTTTTCTTATTTATGAAAATAATTTAATTTTTGTGAAGAATTTTATAAAACTTTTTTTTAAATACAAATTAATTTTGTTTGAAAAATATTATGAAAATTGGATTTTAAATCATTGAATTCTTGTGAAAATTTTATTATTTTTGAAAATAATTGAATTTCTGTGAAGAATTTTATTAAAATTGTATTTAAAATAATTGAATTTATCTAAAGTTTTTTATTATTTTTGAAAATAAATGAATTCCAGCGAAGAATTTTATTATTCATGAGAATAATTGAATTATTACAATGTTTTCGAGAATTTAATTAAAATTTTATTGAAAATAATTGATTTTCTATACAAAATTTTATTATAATTTTTTCGAGAATTTAATTAAAATTTTTGAAAACAATTGAATTCCAAAGAAAAATTTTATTATTTATGAGAATAATTGAATTCTTACCATTTTCATTACTTATATAAAATTTTATTCAAATTTTTGATAATAATTAAATTTAAATTAAATTGAAAATCATTGAATTGAAGAAAATTTTTGAATATAATTGAAATTTTGTCAAAAATGTTATACAATTTTTTTGAAAATAATTGAATTTTGGAGAACAACTTTATTTATTAAAATACTACATATTGAAAGTAATTGAATTTCGAAAATTTCTTGAAAATAATTGAAATAATAAATAATTGATTTTGAGAGTTTTATTAAAATTTTGGAGAATAATTTTTTTATTTCAATTTTTAGCGAATTTAAATTCCCCCCAAAAAAATATTTTTTAATATCACAATTATCTAAAAAAAGTTTTCAAATAGTTGCAAATCGTAAAAAAAGTAGGAAATAATTGAGTGTAAAGCCTGAAAATCTCTTCCATATGAAAAGTACTGAAAGAGTATCAAAAATCTCTTCCCCCATGGAAAATAAAAATTATTCTTTAAAAAAGAGAATTGGGGACAAGAAAAAAATTCCTATTATCTGCAGCATCCAAAATAGGTGAGGGGGGCGAGGAAAATATCATCGATTCAAAAGCGTCGACGCGACGCAGAGGGCGTCCATGCTACCAGTACACAGGGTGGCGAACTTCCCGTTCATGGAGTTAGTGTACATTTGAAATTTGTACCGAGAGTAGTAAATTCAAAACAGGTGCAATTTTTTTTTTCATCACGCGCCTGGGTACAATTAGAAAAATGGAGACAACACGTGTACCCAGGGCTCCAGCACCACGTCTCATTTTTCTCTTTTGCACTCTCACTCTTACTTTTGCAGGTAAATATTTCGATTTAAATTCCAAAAATGAAAAAAAAAGAAAAGGATTTTCTTAGAGATTTTTTCTTTTTACTAAAATTTTTAGCAACTGGGATGTTGTGTGCGGCAATTATGTCCGATTATTGGGAGGAAGTCGAATGGAATAGGGACGAAATATCCCAGGCAAATATAAATCCCACGTGGTATTTGGACGGTAAAGTTGCCATGCTCGAGGCATTACCTGTTCACGGGAGCTTTCAGCGCTTTCAAAAAAAGCACGCATTTTTGGTTCCAATGCACGGCGGAATATGGACAATGTGTGTATCACTCAGTGGTAAGTTTTCACAGTGTTTACAGAAAAATTAAACTGCTTCTCAAATACTTTTTCAAAAATGCAAAATAACTAGAAATTTTTAAAAAATCTACAAAAAAAATAAGAGTCTGCAAAAAGGAAAAAAATTAAACTCTTCTTTTTAATTACTTTTTCGAAAATGAAAAATACAATTTTACAAAAATTACAAAAATAAAAAAAATAGTTGACAGTGTTTGCAAAACAAAAAATTAAACTGATTCTCAAATACTTTTTCGAAAATAAAAAAAAACTAGAATTATTACAGAAAATTTTACAAAATTCCCAGAAATGAAAAAAAATGTTTAGTTTTTGCAAAACGGAAAAAAAATAAAACTTTTCTTCTGAATTACTTTTTCGAAAATGAAAAATAACTGGAAATTTTACAAAATTCAAAAAAAAAAAAATTGGAACAGTTTAATTACAGTAAAAAAAGTGAGACAATATTTAAACTGTCTCCGTATTAAATGTAAAAATTAAAAGGAAAAAATTTCCAAAAGAAGATTTTAAATTATTAAAAGTATTGAAAAAAGGAAGAACTTTTAGAATACTGCTGATCAGAATAGTGCCGTGAGCTTTAAAGTTCAGGTTCAAAAGTTCATTACTGGCATTCACGTCAATTTCATTTCGGGAAGGTTAAGGGAATACGCATACAATGTTGAAGGCTTTTTGTGAAGATTCGTGTGTAGATGTGAAACTTTTGACACAGGCGAAAGCTTAGAAAAGAATTTCTTGCAAGCGCCTTGACTCTGACAGTAGTAAATATCGACCAGACGATTAGAATCTCTAAATTATACGACGAGCACATGCCTTAAATTACATAATCCTCCCGTCTTTTTCCGTCTTAAATTAATTTCTCCAAAAACAATACATCTCTAAATTTCTATATTAAAAGAAATTCTCCTCTCCTGCAAAAATAAAATAAATTAAATTAGAATGAAATCAATGGAAATTAATTTTACTTTTTCAATTACCTCATGCTTAGTAATAAGTTTTTTTGAATTTTTTCAATAGTGGAAAGTATTTTAATGAAAATTATTCAATTTTCCTAAATTTTGTCAATAGTGAAAAATATTTTAATGGAAAATATTCAATATTTCCAATTTTTTTTCAATACTAAAAAATATTCAATTTTTCTAAATTTTTTCAATAGTGGAAAATATTTTAATGAAAATTATTCAATTTTCCTAAATTTTGTCAATAGTGAAAAATATTTTAACGGAAAATATTTCAATGGAAAATATTCAACTTTTCTAAATTTTTTCAATACTAAAAAATATTTTAATGAAAAATATTCAAGGTTTCTAAAGTTTTTCAATATTAAAAAATATTTTAATGGAAAATATTCAATTTTTCTAAATTTTTTCAATAGCGGAAAATATTTTAATAAAAAAGGTTCAACTTTTCTGGAATTGGATCAAAACTTTCAATTCTAATACAAAGTGGACAGTTTCAGTTTTTATAACTCAATTTCGCGGGAGTATAAATTCAAGATTAATGGAAAATCGATGCGAGAAATATCTATTATAGAAATGGAGATAAAATGTTCCTTGTATTATAATTTATAAATTTACAAAATGAGTTTTTTTTCTCAACTTTACGCTAATAATTATTAAAATTAGAACAACAAAAATTGTATCGCCGAGTAAAAACGAAAAAAAGACTTTAATCTTCTTTCAATTAACAAAAAAATATTTGAACAAAGGTTCAAATATTTTCCTTGGTGAACTAAATCATATTTTATAAAGTACACTTGAACTGGAACAAATGAACACATTTTCTAAAGTAAATGTGTGAAAGAAAAATTTATTCTCTGTCACATTGTCGGAAAATAATATGTCAAAGTTAATAGAAAACGTGATTCAAATTTTTTCTCTTGATCCCACATTAACTTAACTTTATGTGAATAAAAATCTTTTCTCATAATATTTACACATTGTTCGTTTAAATTGTCTCTTTTTCCTTCTCTCGAAATGAAAAATGGAACATTTTTCTTATTTTTGTTTTTTCTATAAGTAAAATAAATACTAAAATAGTCTTTTTTCTCTAAAGGAAAAATTGAATATTTTATTTATTTTTATTTTTTGCAAGTAAAGTAAATAGTAAAATAATTATTGTATTTATTACTTGTCTCTCTTTCTCTCTAAATGAAAACTAGAAAATTTTATTTATTTTTATTCTTTTTGAGTAAAATCAATATCTAATAAAATATTTATTTAATAATTTACCATTTAATCTATTTATAAACAGTAAATAAAATTCATGATAATTTTTAATTTATTTTATTTTGTCAGTTTCTATTGTTTTTGTTTTTTTTTATTTTTTTCAATTATCAAACGGAAGCGAGAGTAAATTTTTGTTTCTTAACTATTAAAATAAAAAAATGTAAAAATAATGAAGATATAAAAGAGTTGAAAAAAAATCGAGAAAAAAAACATACGTGTGATATATTTAAGATGAAAGGAAATGAAAAAAAAAATTAAATGCAATTTGTCGAGTCGATATACGAGTAAAATACAGAGAAGACAAGTTTCGTTGAATTAGTTTTTAAAGGTTTTTAGTATTCAAAGGCAGATTTTATGGTTCTTTACCACGCCAAGCACGAGTTATTATTGCCTATTAGCATTTTCTACAATAGTTTTTAAATTATAAACACAACAATATGAACCAAATCAAAATTCTTTATGACTTATGCAAATCAATTAGGAATTATAAAAAAAGAAATTCTTTATACAATTTAATATTCTGTTGATAAAATTTCAAGATTGTTTTTAAATTCTAATCTTTTTAATTTCTCTGATTTAAAATTTTCTGTATTCAAGCAATAAATTTTTTAACACAAGATTTTTTCTATTAATAAAAAACTAAATTAAAAAAGAATTAATCAAATTAATTAAAAAAAATTAATAATAATTAATAAAAAACTTTCATATAATAAGAAAAATATCTTATTATATTGAATTTTTCTTATTTTTTCTATTTTATTTCTTTTGTTTCTATTTATTTTATTTTTTGTTTTATTTCTGTTTCTATTTGTTTTATTATTATTTGCATCATTTTTATTTATTTAATTTCCATTTCATTTATTTCTACTTCTTTTATTTCTAATTATTTAATTTCTATTTCTTTTACTATTATTTCCTTTCATTTTACTTTTCTATTAATTATTTTTCTTATTGTACTTTTTTACTAACAAAATTCTAATTAGTAATTGAGCAGCATGAAATTTAATAGACGTTGGAAATGAATTATTAAATTAATAGAGTCATTATGATTCTATCGTCTCTTGTCCTTCTTCAAAATATAATTTAGACACAAAATCGAAATTAATTTTCATACTTGGAAACTTTCAAACAATGCATACAATTAATTCTGCTTTAATATCAAAACATAAATTTACTCAGAGTGTGATTGCACATAAAATTAAATATCAAATTATTTAAAAATAACAAAATAAAAATTTGTTTTTAAAACTAAAAATTAAGAAATAAAAATTGATTTTCAAAAAATTTTTCAAACTAAACTTTGAAAACAGAAATAAATGAAAAATAAAAAATAAAATAAATTGAGTAAATAAAAAGGAATAAATAAATCTAATGGAATAAAAAGAATAGAATAAATAAAATAAGTAGAATAAAAGAATAGAATAAAAAAAATTGATTAAAAAATAAAATAAAATAGAATAAATAAAACAAATACAATAAATAAAATAGAACTAACAAAATAAGAGGAATAGATCAAATAAACTGAGCAAATAAATAAATAAAAATGAGTTGAAAAGAAAATTTCCAAAAAATAATCTTCAGTGAAAATAATAATCGAATAAAAATAGTATTGTGAAGAATAGAATTGAAGTCGTAAAGAGTTTTGCAATGAAGCGGGTAATACGAGAAATAATGAGTTTGGGATTTTAAAAACGAACGAAATGATAAATGAAGAGTTTTTAGGAAAAAAAATAAAGAAGCGTTCATTTTAACCTAGACCTAGTGAACTCGGGAATTTTCGATCGATTTCCACCCACCAAGGAGAAGATTTATTATTACCCGATTGTTGAATTTACTTCTCACAAAATGTTTCACTTATGACCTCTATGATACCTTCTCACATTTATCGCGAAAAGAAAATTTCTTCCTCCCGCACACTTTAATGTAGCAAAAAAAATTATATTTCAGATGAGGAAATTCGTCTTTTAGAACGAATAGGCTTTCCACAAGAAAGATGTATTAATTATTTATATCCTGATGAGGCTCACGAGGAAATGAGAGCTGTTTGGCAAAATCGTAAGCTAATAATTTATTATTAACGTTTATTAATTATTGTGTGGTTTTTTTCCCATTGACTTCCCGTTTCTACTGTAAATAAATAAATAAATAAACGATTAAATAATACGAAAAATAAGAATGAGAATAATTATAACAAAAAAAATAATAAAAATTATAAGAATAATAATTATAATAGTAATAATAATGTTAATAATAATAAGTAAATAAAAAAAATCAAAGATTTAAACAAATTTCTTTGTAAATAAAAAAATAGTTCTTTTTGAAAAAAGAATTATGAACTAAAATTGCCGAATGTTTAAAAAATATTTACGTCAATTTCAGGCATGCAAAATTTGAGTATTTCCTGTTCATTGGTTTGCCTGATAATTCTTGGCACTGCTGTTTTGGTTGGCTCATTTGGATTGTGCCGACATCAAATATCAGCTGTTCTTGTTACTGGTGTAATGTACCTTTTGGCTGGTGAGTTATATATTTTATAGAAAATTAGATTATCTTTGTTTTAAATTACTTGCTCTATTTATTTTATTTCTTTTTTCTTAAAATCTGTTATTTCCTGAGTTTTTTTTTTTGTTGAAATTTTTGTTGAAATTGAATTCTAATTTACAATTAAATTAAGGAAATAATAAAATAGATTTTATTTTTCTACGATTGTTAATACTATATTAATATATAAACATAATAAAATAGAAAATAAAAAAAGTCATAAAAAAGTCATAGAAAATAAAAAAATAGAAATTTCAAAAATGAGAAAATAAAATAAATTGTAATCAAAAACAAACTAAATTAAATAGTTAAGTTTTAAGCAACAAAATAATTGTTCTTACTATATAGATTACTTTTTTCGAAAGGGAAACAATTCTCTATTGAAATATTTAAAAATTTTTACTTGTTTTGATTTCACAAATACTGAATTTTTGTTTCGGTGAAATTTAATTTGACCTTTTGTGGAAATAAATAAAATTTTCATTATTCACCTGAATAGAGAAATTGTTTTGAATTATACTGAAATCGACAAGAATATAGCTAATTAATAAATAAAAAAAAATTTGTTTTTAAATTAAAAAATAAAAAGTAATTGAAAAACAAATTTAAAAAAAGCAAAGAAAAAAAAGGAATTGAAAAATAAATTTAAAAAAATCTAAAGAATAAATAAAAAAGAATTAAAAAATAAATTAGGAGAAAATAAATAAAAGAATAGTAAGAAGATGAAAAATAAATTTCAAAAAGAAATGAAATAAAATAGATTACCTATAAATAAAAAAATAAATAAATTCAAAAATAAATAAAAAACAGAAAATAGACTAAAAAATAGAAAATATATATAGAAAGTAATAAAAAAGCAAAAATTAAAGTGAAAATTAAATTAAATTTCTATTTTTTTGCAGCCACTTTTGCACTTTTTACATTGACAATAATTCATTACAAAAGAGCACAAGATCGAAATCCAAGAATTTTTAATGGACCAGAAGATGGAGTGATAGGTGGTTCTGTACCACGAAATATTCTAAAAGCGAGAATCTTCAAAACCTCATGGAGCATGGATTTCGGATGGGGTGGAGTGACTCTTTGTTCTCTTGCATCTGTTGCTTGGATTTTACTCAGCAAAATCATGAGATTCAGTCCAATATCTATTATGTTCGCGTAGCAAAGGGAAACCTTTCAGGTTTAAATTTCAATTTCTTTTTTAATGCTATTATTATTGTTACTGTTATTATTTTTATTATTACTACTGACATTATTTTCATTATTATTTTTCTTCAATTAATATTATTATTATTATTAATGTTAGATATTATAATTTATAATAATTATTATTTATTATAATTACTAGTGTTATTATTATTTTTATTTCTGTCACTATTATTATGAGTCGATGAACAAATAACGAACAATATTTTTCAAATAATATGCGAACCATGAATGACGAAATAATTTCGATACAATAAATGCACAAAGTATTTCTAATTAATTCATTCAATTTCAATAGATAAATAATTTCCTTTGACAAATTTCTAAAATAATAAAACGATTCACATATCATTTAACTCAAAAAATTCTAAAGTAAAAATAAAATTCTCAACTGTAAAGAAAAATGATTTTTTTTTTCAAAACATTGATTACAGAATATTAAATTACAAAATTAGAATATTCTACGAATAAAATATTCTCATTAATTTTTTTTAAAAATTCATTTAGATATTTTTTTTAAAGAATTGAACATATTTTTTTAGAAAAACATTTTCTTATTTAGTTACACACTGAATAAACGAGAGAATACTGAGAATATTTACAAGATGCTTTTGCACTTTACACTTTTTCTATATATAATAATAAATAATCGAAAAATATTTTTTAGCAAAACTAATTTGCATTTTTGTAAATGCGCAAAAGCTTTGTGATAATGTGCGAAAAATGTATTTTTTACAAGCACAAATTTAAAAGAAAGGAATTAAATGCATTTGTAAATTTTAATTAGCAGACAACAACAAAAAATAGCATATATTAGTTAAAGTAGAAAATATAACCGAAACTTGTGTAAATATTACCATGTTATCGTTAAATATTATTACTATAATAATATTTAATTAAAGTTCAATAAAATTGCAATACTTGATTGTAAAATTTTCTATGAAGCCAATGACTGTATTTATAATGTAAATTATTTTAAGCTTCGACAAATTTGTAAATACTAAACCTTGTGCTTTCATTAGACTGATTAATTAGTTGATATTATTCGCAAAATGCTTTTCTACAAAAATAATATTTGTGAAATTCAAAATGCCTTGTACTGAAGTTGAAATAGAAATAGAAAATAAAAATATAGAAATATTTCTTGTCTCCTTTTAACCTTCAATATAAATACAATTTACAAGATTTCAAAAACTTCGATACTTTTCATATTTCCTTCACAATAAAATTAAATTTCAAATTCATAATTAAAAATTACGTTAAAATTAAGTAATTAAAAAATTTAAATTAATTTACTAACTCACTTTTTTAAATAAAATTATTTTTTCTAAACAAAATTAGTTCATTCAGAAATTACCTAAGTTCTTGCATTTAAAAAATTTGAATTCGAAAGAATTTCCCGCCTATGAAATGGTGAACATAACCTACAAAATGGAGGAGGCACATTTTGACGAATTTACCGATTATATCAATTTTAGAGGAAATAAAACAATCTACAAAGACATTTTCAAGAAAATAATGCGAGAATTACTCTTTTCTCGTAAAATGCAACAATTTTTCATTTTCCTTTATACAATAATTTGTGCAAAAGAAAAAAAGAAAGCAAACGTGATCAAATGTCGAAAATGTCGACACACCAAGTGCAATTTAAGCGTCAACATTTTATCAACATTATTAATACAGTTAATCTGTAATTAACAATATTTAAATCGGCTTCTTTCGACTTAGAACTAAAACAATATATTTAAAATAGCAAAGCATTTTTTCTACAAAGAGAATAATCATAATGGAAACTTACCGTTGAATTCCGCCTGTGAAAAGATTATTCTGAAGTATAACAGATAATTACTTTTCGTCCAACTTGATCCGTACTCAATGGAAAATTCCAAGTTTTCCCCGCTGAATTGAAGATCCAGGCAATTTGAGGACTCCTACAATTGATGATTTACTTAAGAATGAAAACTGAGCTGCAATGCTTTGCCTTGTTTAACCGGTAAATGTTCTTTGCAAAGTGTTTAACCGCGCAATGACCCCTATAACTGCGCGCAAAAACTTGTTTTAATCTGCGCAAGTCATTTGTTTACATATTGCCAGCACTAGATGGCAGGATTAAATTTGAAAAAGGAATTTTTTTAAAGTGCATAAAAAATGTTAAAAATAAAATAATATTTATGAATTCAATATTAATTGAGAAATTAATGCACTGGTAAATCGGAATTAAAAGCAAGTAAGTGGTAAATAAGTAGTATTTTTCGGTAATTAATTTATTTATTTAGAAATTAAACCGCCTTGTTATTCTTTGCTGTCATGTTGGCAAAATTGTAAGAAACAAGTAGTTCTTTTTGTGCCTAATTTTGGTAGCCCTTTGAATTATGCCCTGTTCACAGTGTTTGGCGGTTTTTTCGCAAATTAATTGCAGGGCAAATGTGGTAAAGCGGGAGTTTTTGAATTCAAAAAACGTTTAGAATAGAATAAATGGGTAAATAAACAAGTGAGCAAAGTAAATATGTAAATAAATGGATAAATAAATAAGTTAATATTATTTACTTATTTTTTGTACTTATTTATTTCTTTGATTATTTAGTTGTTCACTTATTTATTTTGTAAATAAATAAGTAAATAAATGGGTAAATAAATAAGTAAATAAAAAAGTAAATATATGAGTAAATATATAAATAAATGAGTAAATAAATTATTGAATAAAGAATTAATTAAACAAATAAGTAATTAAAATAAACAAATAAGTAAATAAATAATTTAAAAAAAATAATTAAATTAATAAGAAAACAAAAAAAGTAAATATATAAGTAAATAATTGAGTAAATAAATTATTAAATAAAGAAGTAAATAAACAAATAAGTAATTAAAATAAACGAATATGTAAATAAATAATTAAACAAAAAATAAGGAAATAATTAAGTAAAAAAATAATTAAATAAATAAGAAAACAAAAAGAATAAATTATTATAATTAAATAAATGAGTAAATAAATTAGTAAATAAATAATTAAGTAAAAAAATAATTAAATAAATAAGAAAACAAAAAAAGTAAATATATAAGTAAATAAATGAGTAAATAAATAAATGAATAACTAAGTAAGTAAATAAAAATATAAATAATTAATTAATTAATAATACCTACTAATAATAGTAATAATTATTAATTTAAAAATAATTATTTATTTATTTATTTAAAAATTTATTAGGTTAAAATATTTAATTTACAAAATGAAATAAATTAAAAAAGCAAAACAGTAAATTAAACTAAAACATTAAAAATTAAATTAAAATAGTTCTTAATTAATTTCTCCCAGTTTCAAATTTTTCTAAATAATTTTTTCTAAACAAAAAAGGTAAAAAAAAATGAGACGCAACTCGAGATAAATACTTATATATCTGTGTATTTTATATTGTCGACAAAAAGTAACAATGTACGGTTAAACCGTATAGTTTATCTACAACAATCTACAGTAGATTACAATGTTTTCCTGTGTTGAATGGGCGGTGGTTTTTTTTTTTGTTGTTGTTTTTTTTCATATTTTTTTTTCATTTTTTTCTTTTTTGTTAATTTTTTCGGGGAAGTGACAAGGGAAATATTGGACGGGGAAGGATCATGGTCGATGCAGGCCTTCTTCGTTCGTGCTCCTTTTTTTTATATAATTTTATATGTATATATGTATATGTATTTAATTCTATTAAATTTATCTTCTAAATGATAAATTATTATTTGATAGCTTTTTCTATAGCCGTACTCAGTACGGAACAAATGCGTACTGTTCGATTTTTTTAAATTCATTTTTAATTATAATTTATTTATTAATTTCCTCATTCTTTTCTTTTTTTTTAAATAACTTATAAATATCGATCCATTGCGCGACGCTCATTTTTTTTTTTTTTTGCGAATTAATTTATTTTTCATTTAGTAATTTTTTTTTTCTCTCTTTTTTTTCTGTTCGACCGCTTCACCGTGGAATCTCGTTCGAAAAGGTCTTTTTATTTATCGTTTTTTTGTAAGAAAAAATTATTTTTTTTTTGTTAAACCAATTATTTTTTCTGATAAAAAAATTATTATATCTATGAAAAAAAATATTTTCTGTTAAAAAAATTATTTTCTATGAAAAAAATAATTATTTTTCGCTAAAAGAATTATTTTTAATCAAAAAATAATTATTTTTTGTTGAAATAATTATTTTCTATTGAAAAAATAATTATTTTTTGTTGAAATAAATATATATTCTATTGAAAAAATAATTATTTTTTGTTTAAATAATTATTTTCTATTGAAAAAAATTATTCTTTGTTAAAATAATTATTTTCTATTGAAACAAAATTATTTTTTGTTTTAAAAAAATTAAAATCGTTGAAATGAAAATATTTCTTTCGTTATTTTCTTATTTTCTATATTACTATTCAATAAAAAAGAAAATCTCAATTAATGAGGATTATTTGAGAAAAGAAATTGAATCTCTCTGGAGAAAGGGGATATTAGCGAAACTGGATTTTTTTTTATTTTTAATAAACACAGAAAAAATTTATTTATTTCATTTATTTAGTTTAAATCATTAATTTAATTTAATGAATTAATGTAAATTTAATTTTTTCCTAAAATTTATATTGGGCCTGAATGAAATAAAATTATTTAAATCAAAATTAATTAAATTAATTAAATTAATCAAATAAATTAATTAAGACAATTAATCAATTATTGTACAAAACATACAATTGTTATCAATTGTTAATTGTTTAATTAAGTAAATTTTATTACAATTGTTATTGAGTAAAAATTTATTAATTGAAAATTTAAAATTATCAGCAAATCCTGATAATAATAATTGATTAATATAATTATTAAAATTTTAAAGAATTACTTTATTAATAAATGTTAATTATTATGTATTAAATGATTTTTTGTAATAATGCTGAAATAATATTTTAGTAATTTACAATAATATTAATAATAATATTATTTATTGATTATTTTTTAAGGGGATTTGAACCTTGATGACGTCACAGTTTGTGCAAAGCATTAGTTTTAAATTTGTGACGTCATCATGGTTCAAATGCTCTTAAAATTTATCAATTATTAATATTTTAATAATATCTTTGTAATAATTATATTAATTTATTTTGATTGTTTCAAAGTAAACATTTATTTGAAATTTTCACTTCATAGACAAATAATAAATTAAGAATAATGAAGAATAAAAAAATTTAGTGTAAATATAAAATAATTAATAATAGAAAAATTTTATTATTTAATAAAAATAACAACACAAAAAATGATTAAAAATTGGAAAATAAAATTATTATTTACTATTCGATATTTATTATTATAATATTGTAATAATAAATAAATAATAAATTTTTGCTCAATATCCCCATTTTTGTGAGAGTGACTCAATGAATTCTACATCGCGGCTAATTATACTACATATTTATATAAAAATTAACAATTACGATGATTTTTGAAGGCATATTACAATATAATGCATCTGATTTTTCCTTCTTGGACATTTTTTGTATATATCATCAAATTACGGGAAAAATAATTATAATACTTATTAATTATTTCTGTTTTTAATAGACGCGGTATATAAAACGTAGACGTTTTTTTTTCGATTTCATTTCTTAATAAAAAGAACGCGTAAAATATCCTCTTTTTTTTACTTTGTACAACATCCAATTATTTATAATTATTAATTATACATTATTATACTTGATTCGACGGTTGATGCGACGAGAAAGTGACAATCTTAGAATATAGAATTTTAGGTAATAACAGGGGAGGAATTTTCCGTTTTTTTTTTGTGAAAAATGCGGTGAAATTTGTGAAATTCTCTCGCTCTCTTTCTTTCTCTCTTTCTCTCTCGCTTTTTTGCCATTTTTTATTTTTTTGCCATTTATATAGTGCGTGGAAACATTTTTTTATTTTTTTTGTTTATTTTTTTAATAAAAAAAAGAGCGCAAATGCGATATGAGGCATTTTTCTACTTCATTTAAAAAACATTCACTATATAATTATTTATTTCATTATTTTTATTTCTTTTTTTTTTTTTGGTGGGTTTTTGTTTCTTCAAAAAGTGTATGTGCTCAATGGGTCAAAGAAGACTGTACATTATGTATATGTTTATAATATTTATGTAGCGTATAATATTATAATAATTATAACAGTCCTTTTTTTTCAACAACAATAAAGACTCTGAAAGGATGCAGCAGAACGAAGATTTTTTTTCCATATTATTTACGTAGCATATTATTTTTTTTATAATATATTTAAACTTCGCACTATCGTCGCATTTTAACGGCATTTTTGTTTTTCTTTTTTCAGATATCTTTTTATCTTCTTTGAATGAGAAAAAAACCTCTGTGACACCAAATTCTTGAGGGAAAAATATTAAAATTTTACTATAGAAAGAAATTTCTTTATTTTTTTTTTGTTTGAAAAATATATTATTATTATTAATCATTTTATTAATTCTGCGCACTATTAACGTTCGTCTTTTAATAATTTCTTCATACGACACTTCAATAATTCTTTTTGTAAGTATAATTAACATTTTTTCAAGTAATTAGTATTTTTTTAAGGAATTCTTTTTTTTTAAGTAATTAATTATTCAGTAACTATAAATTAATTATTAATAACGTGTATATAATAAAGAATAGAATATTTCTCCAATTTTAATGAATTTCGTAATTATTAGTTGTTAATTAATTAAATAAATAATCAATTAATAATTGCTTAAAATATATTTTCTAAGGAGTAATTATTAATCCTCAATAAGACGATGAAATAAATAATTCTTTAAGTCATAATGAATAAAAATTGATTTATAATTATTAATTAAAGTAAACAATTCTTCTTAACGAGTCGTTCATAATTAATTAATAATTAAAAATTAATTAATAATTCTGCATGTCAGAAGTAATTAATAATTAATTAAGTGACAAATTCCCCACAAGTAGTAGTTGATAATAAATTAATTATCAATAAGTAGTAATTAATTATTAATTACTCATTAAATTAATTAATCGAA